CCATACTGCATCAGCACTGCATGCTGCAATGTAGGTGCTCTTGGACATAGAGGGGGAATATTTAGTACTTGTTTCTCCTCAGAGCTGCCCCCCTTTTCCCTCCTCCCACTTTTGTTTATTTCCCCTTCCCCACTCTACTCCCTTAGAAAGTCATAATTCATGGATAGTCCAGGTCATGATTTGCCTCCTAGGCCCCTTAACCCTGCAGCACCATTACTTCTGACCTTTGCTCTACCTTGACCTTGGTGAGTAAGACGCATGTGCATTAGTTTGGGCATCATTTTTGTTGAAACATTTCAATACACGTGGGGTTTTCAAACGGATTAGACAGTAGAAGTGTTAAGTAAAGATGTTGTTTAAAAAGTCCTCACTCTAATTCTTCACTCGTGAAGCAAGTGTAAGTGAGATGCGAAGCAGTGTAGTTCTGGACCTGGAAGAGGCTTTGGGCCCAGTCCTTGTTAGTAAGAATAAAAATCTGGATTTCAAATTTCAAAATTAAATTTGGCAAACATTGCTAGTCAAATGTCTTGAATGGCCAGTCTATAACATTTCTGAGATCATTTTACAAGTAAATAATTTTTTAAAAGGGTGCCATTGGTGTAATTGGGAAGATCATCATAAATTAGGGCCCTGCTGGATATGGTATCTTTAAATTTCTCAAGAACCATAAATTGATATTTTTGGGAAAGAACCTGGTATTGCTCAATATGAGACAGGTAGTAAAATGTTAAGAAGAGGTCATCACTTTAAACCTAGGTTTGTCCATATAAAAAGAGCCCGTAGACTACGAGGAAAGACATTATGGCTAAATTAAATTAAAATTTAAATCGAAGTACCCAAGAACTTCTCCCCTGCAAGCAAGTGAAAAATCTATATGTGTTGGGGATAAAGTATTTATAATAACCCATTATTAATGTGATCTCATGAATATTCTTTATAACCCTCAAGAAGTGAAACCAGGGAAAAAAATACATTAGAAAACTGGCCAGTTTAATTTGAAAAAAAAAATAAAAAAATTGGGGGGGTGTGATACTCATATTTTTTTTTCAGTCTTTCCTTATGTGGTCCATAATTATTGTTAGCAGTAATTTTACCTGTGATTTAGTTTTCTCTATATGGGGGACTTAAGTTCTATTCTCAATCTTTCCCCTGCCAACCTCAGTAGGTAGTGAGGAATGGGGGGCCCCAAATGTCCCTGTCAAGGGTTAAAATGCCCCTATTAATCAAATGCTGCCACATTTGATTGTTAATTGTATTGAAATTTGCTTTATTTGCAATTTATAGCTTGAATATAGATGTATATTCTGTAGCTTTTTTTTAAATTTAAATTTATACACTTTGCTGTTATTACCTTTTTTAAAAAAATTATTTACCATGTTCTCCTTGACCAGCTTAGGGATGTGGGAAAATAAAATGTGAGGCTTAAACCCCCTGATGGTCTAGAACACTGACCTATGAGTTTTTGGACTCACTTCCCTTTGGGTTCAAGCCCCACCCTTTAGTGTTTCCCTTTTTTATTATAAAAAAGCCCACCTTTTCCGGGCTTTGTCCTATTTATCATAGCTCTGTTATGTGTGTGTGTTGCCTCTAGACTTAACTCCCAGATTGTTCAACTTCCTGACTTTCTAATGCTGTATAAATCAGTGGGGGCTTATCCAAAAGGTACAGAGCTGCAGTTTTCCCAGGCTCACTGCCAGACAAGACTTAATAACCTTACGCTAAAATAATTTGAAAACTGACAAATACATAGAAAAATCTGTTGTCGTTTTTTTTCAATGTTTTTCGAAGCAAATTTTTTGTTGAATGAGATAAAAAAATTATTAAAAATAGGGTTTTTTGTGTCAACATGTCCAGAACAAGGTTTTATGTGGATTTTTAGCACTAACTAGCAGGAGTTTTCCCCCCACACCAGGTAAATATTTAACTAAAAACCCCGGGGAAACAGGTTGCAACAAATAGATGGAATGCTGGGAAATTTTCTATGGTATGTGGTGACCTTCTAGAATTGGGGAAACCACTAAGCACCTTTCACCTATTTTTTTCCTTCCTATACTCGACCATAAACTCCCCCCATCCAAAAGAGCGGGGTGCCCAAGACAATTTTGCAAGGCAGAACAAGATTGCTTTGGGGGGGGGGGGACGGGCTGAGGTTCTCTCAAAATTGGAATTTTGGAGTCAGTAAAAAATTTGGTAAATTTTTCTCAATGCTTTTTTTCCTGCACGCAGGATACCGATAACTATACATGTGTTTTATACTATATGATTTTGAAAATTTTTGTTGACCTACAATATACAAGTGCTAAATTTTTTTTAAATGTTTAAAAAAATTCTTTCAAATTAAAATAAATTCTTAAAATTTAAAACATATTTCTTGGCTAATTAGTGAAATGAGCATTTACTAAAACAACAGTCTGGTATGAGGCAAAAGAAAAACCCTTTGTTTTTTTATGTTTGGTTTGTAAATGTCTTTTGTGATGCTGCTGTAGCTGGAATTTTCAACATACATACATCCCCCAAGTCATTGCCTCTGCTGCCCTTTTTTACTTTTCCCCCCTTTTTTGAGGGTCCTCCTTAACCCCGACATTCATTTTTGACGCAAATGATTTATACACAAAATCTGATGATGAGCCTCTAGCACTCTCCTCAGTCCTTTTAAATTTAATCTTAGCTACCCTTAACCTGCATATCCACGCCCTCTGACTCCAAAATTATTAATCTCCCTCTTGCTACCCTTACCCTACATCTTCCCCGCCCCGCTGCACTGTATAACCCCCATGGGTTTGCACACTTTTTTTTATAATAATCACAATACATGTCTCAAACTAACAAAACATTTTGGAAATATCCCCCGGTTTGTAAACCAGGACTGAAAATTTTTTAAATGTTGTCTTTGTTTTTTTTACCTCTTTCTAAACCAATTGCATATCTGTTACCCGGGTTTTTGCCTGTTGATAATAAATTTGGGATTCTATGGTTTTAGTTTGGGTTTTTCCCGCCGAGCCCTGGCCCCAAAGTACCTGCTGACACCCCCCTCATAGGGCCCCGCAAAAGGCCGTGTTAAGGGCTGTATCAAAAAGTTTTTTTTTTTTTTTAGATTACTTTTCAGTAAACTGAGATTGGTCCACCCCCAATTTCCCCCACTTTCCCCCTCAAATGAAACATGAAATGCTTCACCCCAATTTACTTTCAGTTGACACACCCCTCACTTTCGCCTTTCCTTTTTGTCCCTTCATTTATTCTAAATTCCCCTGAGGGGGGTTTCCCTTTATGCTGGTGAGGGGCTCTTGATCAGGGAATTGGGTCTGTGCTCCAGTCCTGAATTAGCCCGAGTGTCTTCCCTCCCCCTTCCCTACAGGCGCTGTATAATCTTACAGGTTTAGTGCTTCCCCATGATTATAATAATAATCATTCTAAGCTTGACAAACAAAGTTCGAAGCTGATCGGGCTGTGTGATGCTAGTGGGTTTAATGTATTTTTTTTTAGTAATTAATTTGATGGGAGGAAACAAACAGGAAGTGTGTGTATCTGGCACTTGGTACATGGAAGGTCAAGCCTCCACCACGTCTTAGTACTGAGTGACCTACATGAGTTCAGCGCTTAAATTATTTATTTTAAAGTATATGTGTGTATGTTCTTAGGAAAGTATTGGTTTGGAAATAGGGTAGTAGATGAGTGGAACAGTCTACCTAGTTGGGTTATTGAGGCTAGGACTTTGGGTAGTTTCAAATTTAGGTTGGATAAATACATGAGTGGGATTTGAGTGGGACTTGCACATCAGAGCTTATTTCTTGGGTAGCATTGAAAATTGGGTTGGTCAAATGTTTGTTAGTGGGATGAATTGTAAAGGACCTGCCTAGTATGGGCCAACAGGCCTGCTGCAGTGTTCCTCCTTTCTTATGTTCTTATGTTCTTATGTATTGGGCTAATGTTGAGCAGTTTTGCTACTTTTAGATGCCACTTCTGCTGTTTAACATTTCTCGGATCTGGCACTCCTCAAGGGAAATTCCATGATGCTGGTGAGGGGCTCTCTACCTACGGAACTGGATCTGTGCTCGAATTGCTAGTGTGCTCAGCTCACATATTAGGTCCGTGGTTCGATCCCCGGTATGGGTAATTTATTCAGGTACAGGTACACACAAATAGTTAAATTATCATACAAAGCAGTATGTGTGTAGATTACCTACGATAACCCGAAAAGTCAGGGACCTTTCCATTGGAGTTGCATCCTGGGGACAAAATTGACCTAATTTACCCAAAATGCTTTGCATTTAACTCGAGAGAAGCAGTGCGTCATCGAGGGACTGTCTTATTTCCAATGGGGTCCTCAATTTTGCCTTCCAGGATGCGACTCACACCAGTCTACTAACACCCAGGTACCCATTTTATACTGGTGGGTGAACATAGACAACAGGTGTCTTACGGAAACACGTCCTTAACATTTTCCAACCCAACCGGAGATTCAAACTTCGGACCTCAGTGTGTGAGCTGAGTGGGTTGTGATCCAGCTATGGGACACCTGCAGTGATGTCAGTGTTTATGATTGTAATAATAATAATAATAACATTGATGTCAGCTAGGCCTGTATGCCTTCTATGTATACTTGTTGAAAGAAATATTATCTTCCCAATGGAAATAAGTCACACTGACTTTTTTGGGTTATCCTAGGTGACTTTTTTGGGTTATCCTAGGTATTTTATCATATGCTTGCTATGTTGATAACTATGTAACTTTTATTGGGTTATACCTGGAATAAACTTATACAAGCGCTGTGATAATCCCTACATTTTAGTCCGCCCGCAAAAAAAAAAGTTAAATCTAGATTTTGTTATAGAGTCGGTGTACAGCGGCATCTAGTCTTGTTTGTGGTATATCTAGTGACGAGTTAAGTGTTTCACAAGCGGCGGCCGAAAATCCATGATTAGTTATCCCCACGCCAACTACCCCTCAAATCAAGTACTTTACTTTATTTACACCCATATTCTGCCTCAGAGATGTTGACCATGTCCCAAGACAAGAGGAAGGGCCATTTGAAGATGCTCACTGCCAGAAAAGAACAAATAAGACAAAATCTCAAGGTTACACCAGCCACTACAACTGTCCTAGACAACAACAATCCTATTGAGATGCTGGACACTAATATATTTTACACATGTGAGAATGAAGCTACGTTTTCCGAAGACATTGACACCTTTGAAGAGGATCAGGAGAGTGTGTGTGAAGTGAGCAAGAAGAGGAAAGATGTTGCTAAACTCTCGTCTGGATTACTAATGAAAAGACGACGGATGTTACCAGCAAAAATGTATGGAAATTCTTCATTATTTGATGCTGCTACTAGTGATGTGGTCCAGCAAGTAACATCTGATGTGGTCCAGCAAGTAACTTCTGATGTGGTCCAGCAAGTAACATCTGATGTGGTCCAGCAAGTAACATCTGATGTGGTCCAGCAAGTAACATCTGATGTGGTCCAGCAAGTAACATCTGATGTGGTCCAGCAAGTAACATCTGATGTGGTCCAGCAAGTAACATCTGATGTGGTCCAGCAAGGAACATCTGATGTGGTCCAGCAAGTAACTTCTGATGTGGTCCAGCAAGTAACATCTGATGTGGTCCAGCAAGTAACATCTGATGTGGTCCAGCAAGTAACATCTGATGTCCAGCAAGTAACATCTGATGTGGTCCAGCAAGTAACATCTGATGTGGTCCAGCAAGTAACTTCTGATGTGGTCCAGCAAGTAACATCTGATGTGGTCCAGCAAGTAACTTCTGATGTGGTCCAGCAAGTAACTTCTGATGTGGTCCAGCAAGTAACTTCTGATGTGGTCCAGCAAGTAACATCTGATGTGGTCCAGCAAATAACATCTGATGTGGTCCAGCAAGTAACATCTGATGTGGTCCAGCAAGTAACTTCTGATGTGGTCCAGCAAGTAACTTCTGATGTGGTCCAGCAAGTAACATCTAACGTGGTCCAGCAAGTAACATCTAACGTGGTCCAGCAAGTAACTTCTGATGTGGTCCAGCAAGGAACTACTGATGTGGTCCAGCAAATAACATCTGATGTGGTCCAGCAAGGAACATCTGATGTGGTCCAGCAAGGAACATCTGATGTGGTCCAGCAAGGAACATCTGATGTGGTCCAGCAAGGAACTTCTGATGTGGTCCAGCAAGGAACATCTGATGTGGTCCAGCAAGGAACATCTGATGTGGTCCAGCAAGGAACATCTGATGTGGTCCAGCAAGGAACTTCTGATGTGGTCCAGCAAGGAACATCTGATGTGGTCCAGCAAGGAACATCAGATGTGGTCCAGCAAGGAACATCTGATATGGTCCAGCAAGGAACATCTGATGTGGTCAGCAAGGAACATCTGATGTGGTCCAGCAAGGAACATCTGATGTGGTCCAGCAAGTAACATCTGATGTGGTCCAGCAAGTAACATCTGATGTGGTCCAGCAAGTAACATCTAACGTGGTCCAGCAAGTAACATCTGACGTGGTCCAGCTAGTAACAGCAGACGTGGTCCAGCAAGTAACAGCAAACATGGTCCAGCAAGTAACAGCTGATGTGGTCCAGCAAGTAACAGCTGATGTGGTCCAGCAAGTAACATCTGACATGGTCCAGCAAGTAACATCTGACGTGATCCAGCAAATAACATCTGACGTGGTCCAGCAAGTAACATCTGACGTGGTCCAGCAAGTAACATCTGACGTGGTCCAGCAAGTAACATCTGACGTGGTCCAGCAAGTAACATCTGACGTAATCCAGCAAGTAACATCTGACGTAATCCAGCAAGTAGCACCTGACGTAATCCAGCAAGTAACATCTGACGTAATCCAGCAAGTAACATCTGACGTAATCCAGCAAGTAACATCTGACGTGGTTCAGCAAGTAACATCTGACGTGGTTCAGCAAGTAACATCTGACGTGGTCCAGCAAGTAACATCTGACGTAATCCAGCAAGTAACATCTGACGTGGTCCAGCAAGTAACATCTGACGTAATCCAGCAAGTAACATCTGATGTGACCAATCAAGCAACATCACTAGAAATTATGAACAAGTCTGCAGAAAACGATTCATTAATCATGACGATGTACTCTAACTTGTTGCAAATAGCTAAAGATAATTGTTATAACTGTGGTTCAGAAGAGATGATTCCAGATTTTGTAACTCGTGGTCAAGAACTATTTGTAACTGTGTCTTGCAATAAATGCAACATTGTGACTAATGCTGCAACTCATAAACTCGGTGAAATAAATAGACAAACATGTTTAAATATTTACGCTGAACTTTTAAATGGTGGCGGCTACCAAAGTTTTGTGAAATATAATGATTTAAGGGAGAACCTTCATCTAAAAACCTTCAGAAAGTTTACACGATTCATTACTGAGAGAGCTGTTGCAGAGTGTAGGAAAATGTTGCAAGAAAGTCGTGACAGTGTGTTTGCCGAATATGAAAAAAATGGAATACGACCAGCCGATAATGGAGTACTAGATGTTAATGTGTCGTTTAATGTTACCTGGCAGAGTCGTGACTTTTACACAAAGATGGGATTATGTGTAGTAACTGAAGCAGATACTGGCCTCGTTCTTGACTATCAAACATTGACAAAGTATTGCAACCGTTGTTCAAACCTACATACCTTGTACAACGATAAGAAAATAACCACAGAGCATTTTTTGTTACAACGTGCAAAGCATGAACCAGTTTGTAAGATTTTTGATGCTAGTAGTTCAAGTGATATGGAAGCTAGAGCAGCTGAGGCGATATGGGGACGATCATTAACTTATAACATGCGATACTTGAATCTCATTAGTGAAGGTGATGTTACTCCATATACAGTACTTAACAATATGAACAATGGTCTAGGTCCTTATTTTGGTCCTAAAGTGAATGAAGTGGAGTGGGTGGACCACTATGCGAAAAGACTGAAAAGCCGTCTAATAAAATTGATTGAAGAAAATCATGTTGTCAGGGATATAAATGGGAAAAAAGCTAAGCTGTTTCCAATGAAGGGAAAAGGGAAACTTTCTGATGATAATGTTGACAAGTTAGTTAGTTATTTTAGTCGAGCAATAAAGGAGTCCATTGGAACGAACATAGAAACGATGAGAAATGCCATCTTAGCAAGCTATTTTCACTGCACATCATCAAACACAGAGCCAAATCATAATTTATGTCCTACTTCAAAATCATCTTGGTGTTTCTACAATAAAGCCATTGCCAACTATGTAGAAGTACCCTCTCACAGCACTATGAAAGTTGTAGTACATTTAAAGCCAGCCCACCATGAACAAGTGTTAAGAGTTTACAAAGACTTGACCGAGGATGATATGATGCAACGTTGCTTAGGAGAAAATTTGGTTCTTCACAATGAAAATTTCCAAGGGAGAGTATGGACTTGCAGCCCCAACGGAGAAAACAGAAATGAACTAGATTTAGAAGCTGCACAAGTAACAGCACTACCAAATGAAGCTGTTGCTGACAATGAAGGAACATCCTCTAGCAGCACAAAGTTTTCTGTTCAGTCGAGGACTGTGCACCAAAACCAAGTACAAAGAGCTTACGAGAATTTGAGTGAAGAAGATACAATGCATCATCACCTAGACGGAAGAACCAAAAATCCCAGCGAGAATTTCCACCAGAGAGTATGGACTTACTGCCCAGAGGGACAATACAGAAACAAGAGGAGTCTAGATTTAGCAGTTGCACAAGTAACAGCAGAATATACATGTGGATATCATGGAGGCAACCTTGACACTTCACCTGGGTTTCAACGCAACGCTCATACACACCTGTTCCTAAGTACTCAGAACAGTAATATAAAAGACTGGCAAAGGTAAGTTGTTAATGAGTGTTTTACAGTATGACAAGTTAAGGATAAATTTCCAGAATAGTTGTTAATGTATTGGAGAAACGCAGCAAATGGTCACAATTTACTTCTGCCTGACAGAGTTGGGTGAAAATTGAGGTTTTAGTTTCCAGTATGTTCAGCAATTGACATTGTATTTTTGGGGCTAAATTATTAAACGGACTTTTTGTTGTTGTTAGGTTAGGTTGGATTCTAACCCAATAACCACACCCAAACCTTAACCTAACCTGATAATTATTCAACAGTGATATGCAAATTGTTGATGCAGGAATCATTTCATTGTTAATAAAAATACTCACGTTCACAAAAGTTGTAAATTGTTGTAAAATGTAATTTCACAATTTTCATATGGTAAACTCTAGGGAGACTTTTATTGTTTAAACTGAGACTTTAGTATTACTGCAATGCGAAGTCTGAATTCTAATGCTGATTTGGTTTGGCTCGCTGTATAGTCCTTGTGGCTTAGCGCTTCTTTTTGATTATAATAATAATTGGTTTGGCTCATATAAGAAGTGTTTAGGTGGTAACACAAATGCATGTTGTAACACGAGTCTGCTGTATTTCTGTGTAATGTTTACCCTTCAACCAAAATAAAGGCAGCTTCTTCATCTCTGAAGTATTAGCAAAAATCCTCCTCATCCTGCCATCACATAGTCTCTGCTACACAAGAACATGATGATAAATTAGACACATGTGCAACTCTTGGGTATCTTTATTAAGGAAACGTTTCGCCACACAGTGGCTTCATCAGTCCATACACAGGAGAAACTTGAAGAACAGGAGGAGAATGAGGTAATCAGTCCTCCTCCTGTTCTTCAAGTTTCTCCTGTGTATGGACTGATGAAGCCACTGTGTGGCAAAATATTTCCTTAATAAAGATATTCAAGAGTTGCATATGTGTCTAATTTATCAACGTGTCGGTTCTGTGAACCATTCATCTACACAAGAACATACAGGAGGAACACTGAAACAGACCATCTCAGATCCAACCACCTACAGAAATATTTGTCTAACCTATTTTTATGTTACCCAAGTAATAGCTTTTATAACCTTTTACTCATGTGCAAGTTGATTGTTCTACCATATTGTATTACTACTACTATTACAACTGCTACCATTACTACTACTACTACCTCTAGTATAACACCTCACTCTAAGCCTATATATACCCTCTGTGTCCATGTATTGTTTGTATCAGCTTGATAAAGCTCCTGGAGAGCGACGCTGTATAGTCCTTGTGGCTTAGCGCTTCTTTTTTGATTATAATAATAATAATCCTGGAGAGCGAAACATAGCCACAATAAAATGTCACATTAGTTGCACTTGTGTCCTTTTACTTTACAAGGATAGTACAGTACCTTGATGCTAGTGAAGGGATTTAGTAAGTTTTATTCAGGTATAGGTACACAGATACAGTTACATAAATTATCATACATAGCACATATGTAGATTACCTAGTACATGTAAATCCAAGAATTAGAAATATCCTCCCCTTACTCTGATTAAATGTGTAATCCTTTAGAGTTTTCCCTTAAATTTTTTCACATACCTGGATACCTGGAGGTTACCTGGAGGTTATTCCGGGGATCAGCGCCCCCGCGGCCCGGTCCATGACCAGGCCTCCCGATGGATCAGGGCCTGATCAACTAGGCTGTTACTGCTGGCCGCACGCAGTCCAACATACGAGCCACAGCCCGGCTGATCCGGCACTGACTTTAGGTATCTGTCCAGCTCTCTCTTGAAGGCAGCCAGGGGTTTATTGGCAATTCCCCTAATGCTTGATGGGAGGCTGTTGAACAGTTTTGGGCCCCGGACACTTATGGTGTTTTCTCTTAGTGTACCAATGGCGCCCCTACTTTTTATTGGGGGCATTTTGCATTGCCATCTTCCACAAAGGTAAAGTGATCCAAAAAAATTAACCCTTTCACTGTAGGGATCCAAGAAATTAACTGTTGGCAATGACAGTATTTAAAGAAAGCGTTCTTAAATCGCTGAGAATTTTTTTCCGGAGGCAATGGCACTGAAATTATGAAATATTACTGAAAATTTAAAGAATTTTGCCAGCACAAGGCTGATGGTCTTAGTGAAATATACACATCGATAATTTTGTCCACTTATAGTCCTATTTTAAGCTAATTCCATTGTTCAGTTCAACCAAATTCTTAGCTATTTCACTGGTATACCATCTGTTCTGTTGAATGAGCACAAGAAACTGCCATTCAGCTATCAGAAACACAATGTATAATTTGGTCAGTTTTACACAAAATTCAACAAATTCCAATTTAAAAATAGAATCTGAAGTAAAAACTGCATTCCAGCAACTGAAGCAATCTTTACTCTGTGCATTAATCATGTCCTCAGGTCCTCCATTTTAAATCCATCAAGCAAAAAAAAGAAAAAAAAGTTTTGCTCTATTTCTTACAAATACGAATTTTTATGTTTTATGCATTACAAAAACAATGTAGTTTACATATAATAAAACACTGGTAGGCAAAAAAGAAAGCAATTAGCATGGAATGCACTTCAGGTAAGCTTACCAGGAATGATTGGTCATGGTTTAAGGCATTCTCAATAACTGAAGTAAACTTAGTAAAAATCCATAGAACAGACCAGGGTAGGGGTAGGGGTAGGCAGCATTACCTTTCTACAGGAAAATCTTCAAAAATCAGATGTTTTTTGCTACTTTGAGCTTTGTTTCAGTAAGTTTATTTAAGCTCAGGTACACAACCCCTCATGGAAGGTTCCTTGATGTTGGTGAGGGGCTCTTGATTTAGGGAATTGGATCTGTGCTTCAGTTCCCCGAATTAAGCCTGAATGCCTTCCACATCCCCCCCCTGGGCGCTGTATAATCCTACGGGTTTAGCGTTTCCCCCTTGATTATAATAATAATCAGGTACACAAGTACAATTATCATAGTGTAAATTACATGGGATAACCCCCAAAAAACAGCCAATAAAAGCATGAGAACCATTCTCTCCAAAACTGTTACTTCAAACCAAACACAGTCAGAGGTTTGCTTTTCCCATCATACACCACATAGGGCAGATTTTTTATTCTGTAAATACAAGCCACACACACCCAATCTTATACATGTATATCTTGGCCAAAATTTACCACTCACAGCATGTTTGAGGGTGCTGTGCTTAAACCACAAATTTACTTATGTCACTGGTGTCAGTAATTTAAATCTATGTAAGAGACAGTGATTTTTTTTTTTCTTATACACCGGTATTCTCCCGGCCCAGGTCTTTTCCAAGTAGTGGTGACCCGGCCTTGGCTCCCTATCTGGGGAGTATCTCGAGACCTAAGTCTTCCATGGGCAGACAGTGATTGGTTTAAATGTTGACCATCACTCATTCAATAGCTATCCTGATATATGTGCACAGACATTGCAATTCAAATGAGCCCTTTTCATAAACATTGCCTTACTTACATCCCAACAGCATATCAAATCGTAGCCGCTACTTTTTTCCTGCTGGATGTTAGAACTACCGTGAAAGGTGGAAATATGCAAAAAAAAAATGAATTGTGAATAGGTGGAAATGTAGTAGGTGAAGGCATGAAAGGTAAAGGTCTACTGTATATGTGGAGAGTAGTATTTGAGGGCTTGGTCCCAGACCTGCACACTGCCATAACTCAACTGGAGTGAGAGATATGGGAGGAAGTGTAAAATAAACCCAGTGAAGGGCCAGGGCACTTTGGGCACAACATGAACATTGCATCAATATCCGTGGTCACAAATTGTTTAAGATTTTACCAGAAACACTGCTGGGACAAGTGCAAAAGTCAAGAGAAAACTGGCCAAGTATCTCCCCCAAGTGCCAGATAAACCAGGCTGTGATGGATGTGTGTGCCAGCAAGCCAGCAGTAACAACTTGGTTAACCAGGGAAGCACCATACAAGTCTAGCCCAGGGCTGGGCTTTTCTCTCCGAGTAGAAAAAACTAGAAATTCTAGGATATATCAAATGTGAAGGTGGTGGTTCATAATACCAAACTCATAATGTTACTAGGCCGAGAATGTTCATTTACTTGTGAATGTTTTTGTTGAAGTTTCAAAACTGTCAGAACAAAAGTTTTCACAGATGTTAACATTTGAGTCTCCTACACAGAATAATGCTGGTCTGCGACCGCTGTGAAATGAGGTACGTTGATGAGACAAGGTGTGCTGTCATGTGTTCATCGTGTGTTAAAGAAGAAGGAATCAGATTTTCTCATCTAGATAATAAATGTCGATCATGTGGGCTAATCTATTGTCTAGATGGTAAGCTAATAACTAGCAGTGGTTTATGTTGTTTATATATTATTTAATGTGTGAAATCAATATTTTTGGAGAAGACATTTTTCCTTGTGTATTTTTTCCCTAAATAACGTGAATTATTTCTTCCAGGAGAATGTGCGTGTCCAGGATGCTCTTTCATTCCTTATGGGGAGTTTGTGTGTTACAAATGTGAACTGGTGATGGACAATCTCTTGTTACATGAGTGTAACCTTGGTAAGATATTTGTAGTCTGTGCAGTATTTTGAATGTTTTTATGTGATCTCTCCCACAGTGCCTGTGATGATAAACAACAAAGGTGTCCAGATACATATTGCATACTTGATGCTACACGTCATCTAAATGTTTTCTGGAGGTGTCTTCTAAAGAATAAAAAGGAGCAGCACACACAACTCACATGTAGGAGACTGAAAGTTATGATAACATTTCAGTGCAAGTTGGACCATTAACCAGTTACACAAGTGTGAAGGGAAAGGAGCCAGAATATAAACATGAGTGGGGGTAGGGATGGGAGAAGTGTAACGTGGGGAGGAATAGTATTAAATTGGTAGTGGTAGTAATAGTGGTGGAAGTGGTAGTGGAAAAAGTAGTGCAACAGTGATAGAAGGGGCAATAAGTAGGTAGAAGTGGTAGTGGAAAAAGTAGTGCAACAGTGATAGAGTGGCAATAAGAAGGTAGAAGTGGCAGTGGAAAAAAAGGGGAAGAAAGTGGAGACTTAGCAAAGAGATAGTAATAGTGGAGGTAGTCAAAGATAAAGAGAAAAGAGCATTCCAGGAGAGCTAGTGGCCCACGATGGTAGGACCATATCCCAGTGGAACTAAATTCCATAGGACATAACCCACCTAGGCAGAAAATAGGAAAGGTAAAGAAAATATAGGAAAGGAGAAGAGGAAAGGAGAAGGAAAGGAGGAGATGGAGATCAGGTCAGGTCACGAGTGTTCTGTTTGGAGCATTTGAAAGTGTAATGAGAAAGGAAGGCACCTTCTGGGACAGAGCCATATATTCTGGCTCCCTTCCCTTTGTGCTTCTGTGTGACTTAGTTAATGGTCCAATTGAACCCCAAGTCTGACTGAAATGTTGTTATAAGTTTGTCTCCTTTGTGCATTTTATTTGAGTATAGTTAAAAAGGGATTTATTGATAACATTGTTGTGTATGATTGGCCTGGTAGATAGCCCAGACTTAAATCTGATAGAAAATGCATGGCACAATGTGAAGAAAGACATTCAGAAGCGAGAAACCTTGTCTGTCTCAAAGCTGAAAGAGGAACTGATGAAGTATGTCACTATGGATATTGCTTATTTTTTATCTTTAGCAGAGTTCAGACTCAGGCACATGCAAGAAGTCATCAAAATTTAGGGGAAAATGACAAAATATTAACAGTAATATTAATACCTTTTATAGCTCCTTTTGTTTTGGCTTTCAAAGTTATATTTTTTCATGTGAAACAGGATAAGGAGCAATTTTTTTCTATCACTACAGCTCTGTTCCTTAATTTATTGATCAAGGGCTCTGTTTCGTGTATATACAGTTTACTGTGCATTACTTTATTGCACCTCTTGTAAAGGATTCTGTACACAGGTATTAAATGGCCTGGTTAGCCTTTTTCAGAGTCGTTATGGCTGCTTTGAGAGTTCATCAGCTATTACTCTAGTTACTGGCTATGTTGCTAATAAGAAGGACAGCATATCTGGTGACTGCACTCAGTTTGGCATTGTTGATGATGCAGTGGGTACTGGTGAGAATTGTAGGGGGTTGAACCCTCAGATAATGTAGTTACACTCTGAGGAACTGTAGGCTGGCAATCCTTAGGCTACAGGTATGTACTCATTACAAGGAATCCAGTGCTTGTGCCTCACTTGGTCCTGGTTCAGCAGTGTATGATCCTTATGATTATAATAATCTTGGTCCTGGTGTGAATATGCAGTACATTATAGAACATATGGGCATCTCATGAAAAGGGATGAAGTTAGTCTTAATAAAATAAGGCAGCTCTTTAAAGCAGTGTTTTGAAGTTGCCATTTTAGCATTATTTATCATGCAAAACTAGAGAGGTTCAGCCATTCCATTGTAACTTTTGGATAATTGTCTGATAGGTAATTGAGCACCCACTGTACTTGAGTTTTGGAAGCTTAGTATATAATGTTTGCTGGATAGTGTATGTAAAATGGGAGGGAAAGGTTGTTTAAGCAAGTCAGAAGTTGCTAGAGATAAGAGTGAAAGATTTCTTTAGGTCACTTGGCCTAGGTGGAAAACAGACACTTGAAGAAAATTTATACTGCACATTAGTTTTTTGAAGAATACATTAATAATTCTATAATTTTAAATTGCAGGTGAAGAGAAAGAGAAAATTTACAGTATGATGTGAAAATATCCACTCCATTTAATCTTCAAAGTGAAGATATAACTATAGAAGACCCTGCTCCCATCTTCAGTGTTTGGACTGGCCTACAGAACAATAAAAACAATAAAAATGGTATTGAAAGAGCAAATGATCATCTTGGCCTTTCTCACCCTAAGAGAATAGCAACTGAATTTAGAAAAGAATGCGAAGAAACTATGAAAAATGGAAGTGTGAGCTTGAATAAATTGAAACACGTTTCTGCCAACTCTCATAGAGATGATGAAGAAAAGCCACCCAAAAGAGGTAAGAAGTAAACAAAATTATTTCGTACTGGTAGTAGTTACAGGTGTTGATTTAAGACTTTAACAAAGTAAAACGTGGATTATGTTCGAATATCTTTACAGTTGAACCCTGAAATTTGTGAGTTAGGTTCCTGGAGGCTATGAGAATCCTGACCCCTGCAGATATTAGATAATTTTTCATATAATACTGAAATCTTTCCTATTTTATATTTCATATGTACATTAATAAAGAATTTTAGTATTCAAAAATCTTAATTTTGATGATTGATGACTTGTGTGTGTAGATTAAAGATAGGAATGTTCGTTTTAATTCTTTTGTGTTATTATGGTAAATAGCAGAGATGACTTACTGCAGTCAGCAGAGTCACCTTGCTTATTTTTCAGTCACCAAATGCATACTTCTCTTATTTGTGCATATGTCACTCATTTTAAAATTGCTCGACTACATATTAAGTAGTACATCCCCCCCACAGGCGCTGTATAATCCTACGGGTTTAGCGCTTCCCCTTGATTATAATAATAATAATACATATTAAGTAAACACAAATATCCGTAATCCTTTAGTCATTTAGGTCATGTCTGACGAGTGATTCGCAGTTAAACTTATATAATTCGTAAGTTGAACTCCATTCTGGCAGCCAGAATAAGTTTTGAACTTCTTGGGCAGTGGTTGATCTCTAATACAGAGGTGAGGTGAAATTTGAGCAGAGCAACTGCTGGTATCTGGTAGTCAGAGTAAAACTATTCCCATATCCAAGGTCATGATTCTCTTGTCTGTCACCTAAGTGATATGGTAATGATTGTCTCTTCACCATATATTATAAAACCATTCCATAGCCTGAATCAGTTTAGAGTATTAATACATACTTAAATTTGTACTATTTTTGCTACCTCTGTTTTTTGTAATTTTTTTTTATTATTAACACATTGGCTGTTTCCCACCAAGGCAGGGTGACCCGAAAAAGAAAAACTTTCACCATCATTCACACCATCACTGTCTTGCCAGAGGCACACTTACACTACAGTTTTAAAACTGCAACATTAACACCCCTCCTTCAGAGTGCAAGCACTGTACTTCCCATCTCCAGGACTCAAGTCTGGCCTGCTTGTTTCTTTGAATCCCTTTGTAAATATTACCCTGCTCACACTCCTACTTAAAATTGCACCATTATATAGTCTAAGCCTTAGGTTTAGTCTGTTCGAAATGCACGTGCATGCTAATGGATTTTTGTGCTTAACATTATTTTATTACATGTAAACTACATTTTTATACTGCACATAGAAAATAAATAAAATATATATTGAATATGAAATAAACTGCTAATTTATTCACTTTTCGGGGATTAACCCTTTCAGGGTCCATCCCGTAGATCTACGGCTTTGAAGCCAGGGTCCAAGCCGTAGATCTACACCAAAATTCTACCAGCTTTAAATTTAGAGCGAGATGGCTGGTAGGCCTACATATACGAGGATTGGTCTGCATGGTCAGTGTGCACAATAAACAAAAAATCGGGGCACCCGCATTGCTTTGTGGGAATCCCATTTACGGCTCACATTGAGCCAGTAAAGCACCTAAACTACTGGGAACGCCTGCAAGTCTTGAACATGTACTCATTGGAGCGGAGGAGAGAGAGGTACATGATAATATATACCTGGAAGGTACTCGAGGGCCTGGTCCCAAATCTGCACACTGCCATAACAACATACTGGAGTGAGAGATATGGGAGGAAGTGTAAAATAAACCCAGTGAGGAGCAGGGGTGCGGTGGGAACAATAAGGGAACACTGTATCAACATTCGGGGTCCCAGACTTTTCAACATCTTGCCAGAAGATATCAGAAACACTGCTGGAACAAGTGTTGAAGCCTTCAAGAGGAAACTAGACAAGTATCTTCACCAGGTGCCAGATCAACCAGGCTGTGATGGATATGTGGGGCAGCGGGCCTCCAGCAGCAACAGCCTGGTTGACCAGGCGAGCACCAGACGAGCCTGGCCCATGGCTGGGCTCAGAGAGTAGATATACTCTCGAAATTCTTCAAAGGTATTTTTTTTTTTTTTTTTTTATCACACTGGCCGATTCCCACCAAGGCAGGGTGGCCCGAAAAAGAAAAACTTTCACCATCATTCACTCCATCACTGTCTTGCCAGAAGGGTGCTTTACACTACAGTTTTTAAACTGCAACATTAACACCCCTCCTTCAGAGTGCAGGCACTGTACTTCCCATCTCCAGGACTCAAGTCCGGCCTGCCGGTTTCCCTGAACCCCTTCATAAATGTTACTTTGCTCACACTCCAACAGCACGTCAAGTATTAAAAACCATTTGTCTCCATTCACTCCTATCAAACACGCTCACGCATGCCTGCTGGAAGTCCAAGCCCCTCGCACACAAACCTCCTTTACCCCCTCCCTCCAACCTTTCCTAGGCCGACCCCTACCCCGCCTTCCTTCCACTACAGACTGATACACTCTTGAAGTCACTCTGTTTCGCTTCCATTCTCTCTACATGTCCGAACCACCTCAACAACCCTTCCTCAGCCCTCTGGACAACAGTTTTGGTAATCCCGCACCTCCTCCTAACTTCCAAACTACGAATTCTCTGCATTATATTCACACCACACATTGCCCTCAGACATGACATCTCCACTGCCTCCAGCCTTCTCCTCGCTGCAACATTCATCACCCATGCTTCACACCCATATAAGAGCGTTGGTAAAACTATACTCTCATACATTCCCCTCTTTGCCTCCAAGGACAAAGTTCTTTGTCTCCACAGACTCCTAAGTGCACCACTCACCCTTTTCCCCTCATCAATTCTATGATTCACCTCATCTTTCATAGACCCATCCGCTGACACGTCCACTCCCAAATATCTGAATACATTCACCTCCTCCATACTCTCTCCCTCCAATCTGATATCCAATCTTTCATCGCCTAATCTTTTTGTTATCCTCATAACCTTACTCTTTCCTGTATTCACTTTTAATTTTCTTCTTTTGCACACCCTACCAAATTCATCCACCAATCTCTGCAACTTCTCTTCAGAATCTCCCAAGAGCACAGTGTCATCAGCAAAGAGCAACTGTGACAACTCCCACTTTATGTGTGATTCTTTATCTTTTAACAATATCAAAGGTAAAGGTATTGATATGCTTTGGCAGTAAATGTGTTCAGATATTTGGGAGTGGACATGTTGGAAGATGAGTCTGTGAAAGAACTATAGAATTGATAAAAGAGTGGGGGGTGGGGAAGTGAATGGTGGATGGTTCATTGAGGAATCTGTGGAGACAGACTATCCATGGAGACGAGAAAGGAAAATGTACCAGAGTATAATGGCACCAGCATTGTTGTATTGCTTTGAGACATCAGTTTTTAACATTGTACAAGAAGCATTGGAGACATTTTGTTTGAGGGCAATGTGTGGTGTGAATAATAAGTCTTGTGTTGAATGTGTTAGACAAGAGTAAGTGAAGGCATGCAGTTTTTATGACACTGTGCTGTTGGAATATGAGCAAAGTAACATTTTTGAAGGGATTCAGGGAAAACTGGTTTGTCACACACAAGTTCTGGCTCTGGGAAGTGCAGTGCCTACACTCTAAAGGAAGGGTGGTAATGTTTGGAGAGCTATCCAAACTGTAATGTCAGAAAGCTTCTGGCAAGTCAGTGATTGAATGAGTGCCAGTTAATTATTTTTTGTGTGTGGTGGTGGTGTCAATGGCAATGACTAGTGTGTTAAAGTAAAAATGAAAATTTCTGTGATGTGTATATGTTAAACCATAAAATAAAGATTCAATATTTAATACATATTTTTACCAGTACTTGTCTGAAAAGTTGATCCTGTCTTGTTCACTGGAAGGGATGTACTGGATCTTGTTTATTCTAGGCTGACTTAGAGTATTTGACAAGGATGAGAGAATTGACTGAGGTGAATCTGGGCATTTTTCAGGAGTTGTGTATACTGGGGGCTTTTGTGGAATTGTAGGTTGATGCTACTGCATTTTTTTTTTATATGCAGTAGGGCCTTGCTTTATGGCATTCCACTAATACGGACATTTTAAATTGTAACTAAAAAACTCTATATGTCTCTCCCACCTGACTTTCTAATAGTCACTGGTTGCCATCCAGTGTGTTTACATTCTTCGTGAGCATGTCTCTCCATTATGTCTGGAAACTTTCCAAAATTTCAAGTGCTTTAAAATTATTTCACACTATATATATAGTACTCTGGTAATTATACTTGTGTATACCTGTATCTAAATAAACTTACACTGTGCTGGCATACAGGTACATGTTAAAATCACTAAGAGTGTCTTATTAGTCTTGAAAACGTCATATTAATAATGATGTTAGCACACAATAATAATCACTCTGAGACGCATTAAATGATGTATATTACGTTAATATAGACATTTTGATTAATCCATCTATGATTTTTTTTAAATTATATAATAAACATGCTATGTAACATATTAACATAATAAATATACCCCACAGTTGAATAAATTAACATAAATATGAGATGTTATTCCAGTCGTCTTGCCGGAGTGTCGGAAAGAATAACGTTTTCTATAGTTCAGCACCAAAGACAATGTGTACGCAATAGTATTACTGGGGGTAGCTGTAGAAAATTATTCCTTTTGTATGCCTTCACTCAGTTTCATTCCTTCTAAAAATGGTGTGTTACATGAGAATGGGAGTGTTGCTCTTTATTTATTCTACTTTACCTACGTGGAGACAACTTGTACACAATGTAATGTGTTTGTATTATGGTATAAACTTCACAAACATGGAAATAAACATGTATCAACCTTAACTAGATGCTTTTGTCTGCTTGTTTGCATACTTTGAGACTCTGTCCTCTTTCTCTCGCTTATTCGTTTTTATCTTGTTTACTCGCCTCTCACCTTACATTAAGACTACAAATATTTTAAGGTAAGTAATGAGTGTACTGTATATGCATTTTATCACAGTAGGGTGCTTTAAATGTTGTAGTATATTACATGTGTGTGGGGTGGCCAGGTGGGCTAGCTTACCTACTACACCCGACTTCTTACAATAATTACTATTCACCTCTCGCCCAACATTAAGACTACAGATATTTTGTGGTAAGTAATGAGTGTACTATGTGTGTGTAATTTACTTTTTCTTGCTTTTTAATGCCTAGTTCTGTTGCTAACTTAATATATGTTACTGTAAACTTGTTATCTGGGATTTCTTCCTTTTAACGCACTGGCAGTATCCCACCGAGGCAGGGTGGCCCAAAATGAAAAACAAAAGTTTGTCTTTTTAACTTTAGTAATGTATACAGGAGAAGGGGTTACTAGCCCCTTGCTCCCAGCATTTTAGTCGCCTCTTACAACACGCATGGCTTACGGAGGAAGAATTCTGTTCTGCTTCCCCATGAAGACAAGAGGAAATAAACAAGAACTACAGTCATACTGGCCAGGTTGTGGCAGCGACCACCAAAATTCTACAGTGATTATGTATGATTGAGGTGAAAGTGTTGGATGATGATGAAAGTGTTTTCTTTTTAGGGTTTTTTTTTCTTTTTGGGTCACCCTGCCTTGGTGGGAGACAGCCAACTTGTTGAAAAAAAAAAAAGTAAGAAAGTAGAAAAAAATCCAGAGGGGTGTGTATATATATGCTTGTACATGTATGTGTAGTGTGATTTAAGTGTAAGTAGAAGTAGCAGGACATACCTAAAATCTTGCAGGTTTATGAGACAGACAAAAGACACCAGCAATCCTACCATCATGTAAAACAATTACAGGCTTCCTTTTTACACTCACTTGGCTGGACAGTAGTACTTCCCTGGGTGGTTGCTGTCTACCAAACTACTACCTAAGAAGAATTTTTTTTTTTTTCAACAAACCGGCCGTATCCCATAAATACATATATTTTTTTTTTTTAACAAGTCGACCGTCTCCCACCGAGGCAGAGTGACCCAAAAAGAAAGAAAATCCCCAAAAAGAAAATACTTTCATCATCATTCAACACTTTCACCTCACTCACACATAATTGCTGTTTTTGCAGAGGTGCTCAGAACACAACAGTTTAAAAGCATATACGTATAAAGATACACAACGTATCCCTCCAAACTGCTAATATCTCAAAACCCCTCCTTTAGAGTGCAGGCATTGTACTTCCCATTTTCAGGACTCAAGTCCGGCTATATAAAAATAACCGGTTTCCCTGAATCCCTTCACCATCCCAAATACCATTCGTCTCCATTCACTCCTATCGAACACGCTCATGCATGCCTGCTGGAAGTCCAAGCCCCTCGCCCACAAAACCTCCCTTACCCCTTCCTTCCAACCTTTTCAAGGACGACCCCTACCCTGCCTTCCTTCTCCTACAGATTTAAATGCTCATGTCATTCTACTTTGATCCATTCTCTCTAAATGACCAAACCACCTCAACAACCCCTCTTCAGCCCTCTGACTAGTACTTTTATTAACTCCACACCTTCTCCTAATTTCCACACTCTGAATTTTCTGCATAATATTTACACCACACATTGCCCTTAGACAGGACATCTCCACTGCCTCCAACCGCCTCCTCGCTGCAGCATTCACAACCCAAGCTTCACACTCATATAACAGTGTTGGTACTACTATACTTTCATAACATTCCCTTCTTTGCCTCCATAGATAACGTTTTTTGACTCTACATATACCTCAACGCACCACTCACCTTTTTTCCCTCATCAATTCTATGATTAACCTCATCCTTCATAAATCCATCCGCCGACACGTTAACTCCCAAGTATCTGAAAACATTCACTTCTTCCATACTCCTCCTCCCCAATTTGATATCCAATTTTTCTTTAAATCATTTGATACCCTCATCACCTTACTCTTTTCTATGTTCACTTTCAACTTTCTACCTTTACACATACTCCCAAACTCATCCACTAACCTTTGCAATTTTTCTTTAGAATCTCCCATAAGCACAGTATCATCAGCAAAAAGTAACTGTGTCAATTCCCATTTTGTATTTGATTCCCCATAATTTAATCCCACCCCTCTCCCGAACACCCTAACATTTACTTCCTTTACAACCCCATCTATAAATACAGTGGACCCCCGCTTAACGATCACCTCCAAATGCGACCAATTATGTAAGTGTATTTATGTAAGTGCATTTGTACGTGTATGTTTGGGGGTCTGAAATGGACTAATCTACTTCACAATATTCCTTATGGGAAAAAATTCGGTCAGTACTGGCACCTGAACATACTACTGGAATGAAAAAAGTTCGTTAACCGGGGGTCCACTGTATATTAAACAACCATGGTGACATTACACATCCCTGTCTAAGACCTACTTTTACCGGGAAGTATTCTCCCTCTCTTCTACACACCCTAACCTGAGCCTCACTATCCTCATAAAAACTCTTTACAGCATTTAATAACTTACCACCTATTCCATACACTTGCAATATCTGCCACATTACTCCCCTATCCACTCTATCATATGCCTTTTCTAAATCCATAAATGCAATAAAAACTTCCCTACCTTTATCTAGATACTGTTCACATGTATGCTTCAATGTAAACACTTGATCTGCACATACATATATATGTATTAATATGATTTTACATTGCAGGTGAAGGGAAGCAAGGAGAAAAATCGCACGGTTTGGAAATTTTGAATCCAGTTCGACTGCGAGTTGAAAATGCAGCAGTAGAGAACTCTACTCCAGTTAGCACTATTTGGACAGGCTTACAGTACAAAAGTAGTAGTAATAACACTGATGATGGCACTGAAAACCTGAAAGTAATGGAGCAAGCACATAATTATTCTAATCTCTCTCATTTTGATGAAGAAAATGAAATTACAAAAGAAGAGTTCTACGAAGAAGAAGAAACTGAAATAAATTTAGAAAAAAAGTTGAATATTGTGGAACAGCCTGTTTTTTGTAACTCTCATAAAGATAAAAAGTCATCAAAACAAGGTAAGAAATCAGGGATTTACATTCCTAAGAAAGCATGATGATATATTATCCCTAATCAGATTAAAAAATGTATATGCTGTATTTTTAACTGTGCAGGTGTAACAAACTTAACAAGAATATTTGAGACAAGGGATATTGTGTGGCACCAGCATCTGAAAAATAGCCAAGCACTCTAGGCCCCACCTGAAACTAACACTATTGTCAGACAATAGGCAGGGGGCTGATATCTAGGGTATGCATCAATCCAAGGACAGTATTAAATTGTTCATAAACTTACAAACTCTATTATTTTTTAAGTACCACTGTAAACTTTTCCATTCAGTAAGAAGTGTAATTCCCAAATTTATTTGATTTTTGCAGTTATTTCTTGAATTTAAAATCTTATATAATTATGGTTAGGTCTGTTGCATTCCTCTTCCACTTTGGTTTGCTTGCAGTTTGTACTAAAGTACAGTGGACCCCCGGTTAACGATATTTTTTCATTCCAGAAGTATGTTCAGGTGCCAGTACTGACCGAATTTGTTCCCATAAGGAATATTGTGAAGTAGATTAGTCCATTTCAGACCCCCAAACATACACATACAAACGCACTTACATAAATACATTTACATAATTGGTCGCATTGGGAGGTGATCGTTAAGCGGGGGTCCACTGTATTCCTGTTCAGTTTTCCATAACTCAATCATTTAATATTTATCTTCACTGAACATCATTCTTTTCTGTGGCCCATTCAAAGACTTGGCTAATATTAGCTTGAAGGTTTGTTGTAGCCTTATTAAATAAATACAGTGGACCCCCGGTTAACGATATTTTTTCACTCCAGAAGTATGTTCAGGTGCCAGTACTGACCGAATTTGTTCCCATAAGGAATATTGTGAAGTAGATTAGTCCATTTCAGACCCCCCAAACATACACGTACAAACGCACTTACATAAATACACTTACATAATTGGTCGCATTGGGAGGTGATCATTATGCGGGGGTCCACTGTAAATAAAATATTTATTGTCCAAGAAGATACATAATTTTACAGATTGTTTTACACTGGTAATTTCTGACGTGGCACTTTAGTAGGAATTTTGGTATCTGTAATGGATTTTATGGTGCTTTGATTTTTACATCTGTTTGATATGACAATAGAAAATTTAAGCTGTATGCCTCGTAAAAACAGCTTTGTACTATGAAGGAATCTGCTTTAACTTTGTTGATGTTTTCCTTTTGTAATATGAATGGATAATTCTAAGACTTGAGTCCTGGAGGTGGGAGGTAGAGTGCATGTACTTTAACCCGTAAATGGTCCAAACGTATATATACGTTTTTTCAACATTTGAAAGTACGTAAAAAAAGTAGATCATCTTTTTGTTTTTCTACCTTTGAAAAATGTGAAAAAAAACTTTGATCTACTTTTTTTTTTTTTGTTATATTTGAAAATATGTAAAAAAAACTTAGATCTACTTTTGTAGCACTACACATGTGAACGTAGATCTGCTTGGACCGTTTGCGGGTTAAAGGAAGGGTTTCAAACATTTGCTGTTTAGAGGGACATGTAAACTGTCATAGCTGTGTGCCTCTGGTAAGACAATGATAGTGTGAATGATGGTGAAAGTTTTTCTTTTTTGGGTCACCCTGCCACTGTGGGAGATGGCTAGTATGTGTGAAAACGTCAGAGTTTAGAAATGTTGTGCTTAAGTTCTTTGAAAATAATACATTTTATAAATATAATTTTACATTGCAGGTGAAAAGAAGCAAGGAGAAATATCTCATGATTTGGGATTTTCTAGTCCAGTTCAATCTCAAGTTTATTTTAAAAATAGAGTTAAGGCAAACTCTGCTCCAGCTCTTACTGTTTGGACTGGCCAGTGCATTAATAGAACTAATAACAGTGATGGTGGTATTAAAAACCTGAAAGTAGAGGAGGCAGATTATTCCGATATCTCACACTTTGATGGAGCAGAATGTGAATTTACAAAAGAAGAGTTCTCTGAAGAAGAAACTAATAAAAATGTTGATACAAATTGGAGTAAGATGGAGCATCATGTTTTTCCTAACTCTGAAGATAATGAAAAGTCACCAAAACAAGGTAAGAAATAAGTGAAACAATTTTCTGGGCTATGAAACATTTTCTTGAATTTTATAATTCTATCACTTGTACCAGTAGGAAATACAAGCAATGATTTATGATCCTAAAAAAGCATAATGATAGATTTAATCTGAAATTAATGAAATTGGGCAGGATATTATTGTCACAAGGGACGTGGTTATTATAGATTTAGCCAGACTTGAGCCCTGGAAATGGGAAGTACAATGCCTGCACTTTAAAGGAGGGGTCTGGTATATTGACAGTTTGGAGGGACTTTTAAACTGTCATATCTGAGTGCCTCTACAAAGACAGTGATTATGTATGAGTGAGGTGAAAGTGTTGAATGATGATGAAAGTACGTACAGTGGACCCCCGCCTAACGATATTATTTCAATCCAGAAGTCTGTTTGGGTGCCGTTATAGACCGAATTTGTTCCCATAAGAAATATTGTGAATTAGATTAGTCGGTTTCAGACCCCCAAAAATACACCTACAAAAGCACTTACAAAAATACACTTCCATAATTGGTCGAGTTGGGAGCTGGTCGTTAGGCGGGGGTCCACTGTATTTTCTTTTTGGGTCACCCTGCCTCGGTGGGAGACGGCCGATTATGCATACTGCAGCTTTTTGTTGAGCAGTTATTTTCTTTAGGTGATTAGCTGTAGTAGATCACCAGGCACAAATACCATAGATGAGGTAAGGATAGATTAGAGATTAATAAAGTAATGCTGTTTGAGGTATATAGTAATGTATCTTAGAGAGGATGCCCACTGTTTTGGAGACCTTGATTATGTACTGGAGGTGGATGTTGAATTTTAAATTGCTCTCAAAGTAAGAGACCTAAGAATTGTCCCTTATTTTGTATTACAATGTGTGAATCATTATTTTGAGTTGCACATTTGCACTTTTGTTTTCAGACATATAGATCTTGTCAGTATGAAGAGTGAGATTATTGGTAGTCTTCCAAAGTAGATATTGAGAGATGCATTGGGAAGGTTACTCTTGTATATAAAGAATAAGCAGAGGTCCAATAACTGTCCTGAGGCACCCCTATGTTGATAGGCCGAGTTGATGAGGTTGTCATTGATGACTACATTTTGGTGTCTTCCATTAGGGTAGCATTTTAAGTATGCAATAGTATGATCTCTGATATCATAATGTTCTGGTTTTACAATATTTTGTGGTCTTCAGAACATCTTAATCACATAAATATGTAATGGTTTTCAAACTAGACTTCTTATTATGATAAAATTTCATAAGAGCTCAGTGCTGTAAGGCCAATATAAACTTGCTGCTGCTGTTCTGTTTAATATTCTCTTGATCTGCTTTGTTAAAAAGCTGAGCACTAGATATGTGAGCATGTTAGAATGGAATGATTGATGGTGAATGGACTACCACAGTGTGTCATATTCCATAAATGTGATCCAACATATTGTCGTCATGAAGGTTTTTTTGTCTTTTTTCAACATACTAATCATCTCCCATTGTGGCAGGGTAACTTGAAAAAGAAGACCCTTTTTTTTTTTTTTGCATTTAGTAATTTATACAGAAGAAAGGATTACTAGCTCCTTGCTCCCGGCATTTTAGTCACATCTTATGACACGCATGGCTTATGGAGGAAGGATTCTTCCCCACTTCCCCATGAAGAAGGATGTTATACAGTGGACCCTCGACCAACGATATTAATCCGTTCTTGAGAGCTCATCGTTAATCGAAATTATCGTTAGTCGAGTTAATTTTCCCCATAAGAAATAATGGAAATCAAATTAATCCGTTCCTGACACCCCAAAGGATTGAAAAAAAAATTTTTACCACATGAAGCATTAATTTCAATACACACAAACTGAAGAAGACATGCACAGTTACATGACACTTACCTTTATTGAAGATCTGGTGATGATTGATGGGATGGGAGGAGGGGAGAGTGTGGATGGTGTTAGTGTTTAGAAGGGGAATCCCCTTCCATTAGGACTTGAGGTAGCAAGTCTTCCGGGGTTACTTCCCTTGTTCTTTTAATGCCACTAGGACCAGCTTCAGAGTCACTGGACTTCTGTCGCACATATCTGTCCATAGAGGCCTGTACCCCCCATTCCTTTATGACATTTCTGAAGTGTTTCACAACATTGTCAGTGTACATGTTGCCAACACGGCATGCAGTAGCTGTGTCAGGGTGATTTTCATCCATAAAGGTTTGCACTTTAAGCCACATTGCACAGATTTCCTTAATCTTAGAAGTAGGCAACTTCTTCAATTTCTCTATCCCCTCCTCCGAAGCAGTTTCCTCAGGTCTGGCCTCTTGCTGTTGAAGATGATCTAGCAGCTCATCAGTGGTTAGTTCTTCATTGTCCTTCTCCACCAACTCTTCCACATCCTCCCCACTAACCTCCAACCCCAAGGACTTCCCCAGTGCCACAGTGGATTCCTCAACTGGCATAGGATTCTCAGGGTTAGCCTCAAACCCTTCAAAATCCCTTTTGTCTACACATTCTGGCCACAGTTTTTTCCAAGCAGAGTTCAAGGTCCTCTTAGTCACTCCCTCCCAAGCCTTACCTATAATGTTTACACAATTGAGGATGGTAAAGTGATCTCTCCAAAACTCTCTTAGAGTCAGTTGAGTTTCTGAGGTCACTACAAAGCACCTTTGAAGTTGGAAATGACCTGCTGGTCCATGGGCTGCAGGAGAGGAGTGGTATTAGGAGGCAAAAACTTCACCTAAATGAAGCTCTGCCAAGTCTGAAGGATGACCAGGAGCATTGTCTAATACCAGGAGGCACTTAAGGTCCAATTTATTTTCCAGGAGGTAATTTTTCACAGTGGAGGCAAATGCATGGTGTAACCAGTCATAGAAAAAGTCCCTAGTGACCCATGCCTTACTGTTTGCCCTCCACAGCACACACAAATTAACCTTGAGGACATTGTTTTTCCTGAACACTCTGGGAGTTTCAGAGTGATACACCAATAAAGGCTTCACTTTGCAATCACCACTAGCATTGGCACACATCAACAGAGTAAGCCTGTCTTTCATAGGCTTATGTCCTGGAAGTGCCTTTTCCTCCTGAGTAATGCACGTCCTGCTTGGCATTTTCTTCCAAAACAGGCCTGTTTCGTCGTTTTGTCACAATTAAACACTTGTTCAGGTTTCAGTCCTTCACTGTCTATGTACTCCTTGAATTCCTGCACATATTTTTCAGCTGCTTTGTGGTCTGAACTGGCAGCCTCACCATGCCTTATCACACTATGAATGCCACTACGCTTCTTAAATCTCTCAAACCAACCTTTGCTGGCCTTAAATTCACTCACATCACCACTAGTTGCTGGCATTTTTTTAATTAAATCATCATGCAACTTCCTAGCCTTTTCACTTATGATCGCTTGAGAGATGCTATCTCCTGCTATCTGTTTTTCGTTTATCCACACCAATAAGAGTCTCTCAACATCTTCTATCACTTGCGATCTCAGTTTCGAAAACATAGTTGCACCTGTGGCAAGAACAGCTTCCTTGATTGCTGTTTTCTTGCCCATAATAGTAACGATGGTTGACTGGGTTTACTATACAACCTGACCAGCTCGGAGACACGCACTCCACTTTCATACTTAGCAATGATCTCTTTCTTCATCTCCATAGTAATTCTCACCCTTTTTGCTGTAGGGTTGGCACTAGAAGCTTCCTTGGGGCCCATGGTGACTTATTTTGCAGGTGCAATCACTACAAACGCTGTGATAATATGAAATGTTCCAATTGTATGTTTGGAAGTGACAGCGGTGGCTGGCTGGCTTGTAAACACTGGCACCCATGGGACAAGTGAGGCGCGCTCAGGCCAAAGTGGACGCGTCTCGAACGGAACGAATAGCATTGGTCGGGTTTTTTAGCGCTAGTTGAGGCAAAATTTTTGTGTTAAAATGTATCGTTAGTCGGATTTATCGTTAATCAATGCCATCATTGGTCGAGGGTCCACTGTATATGTATAAGAATATTTTGTGCTTTGGAAGCTGGTAAATTAGTGTACACTGCAAGTGAGATGGGTAGTGCTGTTAGGATGTTAAATGTGTCTGAAAGTGTTTGAGAAGCTGTTATTGAACCATTAAACTATCCAAATGTAGATCTACGTCCACGTGCGGGGAGCTCCGAACGTAGATCTATGTTTTTTTTTTTTTACATGTTTTCAAATGGGGAAAATCAAGGTCGGAGCACTACGCATGTGAACATAGACCTACTTTTTTTTTTACATGGTTTCAAATGGGAAAAATCAAGGTTGGAGCACTATGCATGTGAACGTAGATCTGCATTTTTTTTACATGCTTTCAAATGGGGAAAATCAAGGTCGGAGCACTACGCATGTGAACGTAAATCTACATTTGGACAGTTTAAGAGTTAATGTATCCCACAACTAGGATGGACAGGTTGTAGCTTAGAGGGTCAAAGGCAACTGGAGAGTGGGTGAGGGTACATTGTTTCTTCTTGAATTAGAAACAGTCAGTAAGCTAAAGAAACTTTAGATTAAACTTATTTGAACAATATACAGTGTTAATGTAATTTTTCATTGCAGGTGAAAAGCAAGGAGAAAAATTTCCATGTAGTTTGGAAATTTCTAATCCAGTTAACCCAAAAGTAGAAAATACAGCTATGGAAGATGCAGCTACCACCATCACTGTTTGGACTGGCTTACAGTGCAGCAATAATGAGTGATGGTGTTATTGACAGTGAAAAATAAAAGTAATGGTGAAAGCAGAGGATCATTCTGGCCTTTCTCAATTTAATAAGTTGGAATGTGCATTTAAAAGTTATCTGAAGAAAGAATTGTAAAATATGTAGATACAAGCTGGAGTAAGTTGGAGCATCAATTTTTTACTAAGAGTCTTAAATGCAGTGAAGCAAAAATCAGCTTAGGAAAAGAGGTAAGAAATTAATAAAATTTGTGTAGTTATTTCTCTTAATGTGAAAGCTGAAATTGTTAGTAGTTTGTTGCAAAAATATTTAAAATACCTTTGATAATTAAAGTTCATGAGTAGTAGTAGTAGTAGTAGGTAGTAGTAGTAGTTGGTAGTAGTAGTAGTTGGTAGTAGTAGTTGGTAGTAGTAGTTGGTAGTTGTTAGTAGTTGTTAGTAGTTAGTAGTTGTTAGTAGTTAGTAGTTGTTAGTAGTTGTTAGTAGTAGTAGTTAGTAGTTAGTAGTAGTAGTTAGTAGTGAGATGAGAGGCTAACATTAACCTAAGGCACTGTAAGAGTTGAACATCAGTTTGTGGGAAGTTATTCCTTGAGAGGGTAAATAATTTTTTTTATCATTTAGCTTAAATTATTATTATAAGCAAGGGGGAAGCACTAAACCCATAGGATTATACAGCACCTGTGGGGTGGATGTGGAAGGTATTCAGGCTTAATTCAGGGAACTGGAGCACAGATCCAATTCCCAAGATCAAGAGCCCCTCACCAGCATCAAGGAACCTTCCTTGAGGGGATTCAGCTTAAAGTATAGAGTACACAGTGTGTTTAAGTTAATGCTTTATGTTGGTGATAAAATATTTTGAAATGTTTATTCATATATTGTTTATTAAAGGGTGGTACATTGGTGTGTATTAGTAATGTCTAAAAATGTCCATATTACACCCAGAAGCCAAGTTAAGTTGGTTCATCCATTTGTCAAACTTGTGTGCCCTCTTGCATGTTTGGAAAGTTGGAAAACGTGTATATTGTTGGGAATGGAAAAAATAATGGAAGGCAGATTACATTAAAAGCAAATTTATTTAGGGTGAAAATATTACAAAATGTATGCAAATTAACTACTGGATGGTCCAACAAGACTGTGAGATGAATGTTTTTTTTTTATTCGCCGGTATATTAATGGTGATTTTTTTTTTTTTTTTTTTTTTTTTTTTTTTTTTTTTTTTTTTTTTTTTTTTGATCACCCTGTCTTGGTGGAAAATGGCCAGTGTAATAAAATAATAAAAAGTGCATTTGTTCAAAAGAGGGGAATGTATTGAAAGCATAGTTATACCAATGCTCTTATATGGGTATGAAGCATGGGTGGTGAATGTTGCAACAAGGAGAAGGCTGGAGGCAGTGGAGATGTCATGTCTGACAGCAATGTGTGGTGTGAATATAATGCAGAGAATCCCTAGTTTGAAAATTAGAAGAAGGTGCAGGATTACCAAAACTATTATCCAGGGGGCTGAGGAGGGGTTGTTGAGGTGGTTCAGACATGTAGAGAGGATGGAACAAAATAGAATGACGAGTGTATGAACCTGTAGTGGAGGGAAGGCGGGGTAGAGGTCAGCCTACAAAAGGTTGGAGGGAGGGGGTAAAGGAGGTTTTGTGTGCGAGGGGCTTGGACTTCCAGCAAGCATGTGTGAGCGTGTTAGATAGGAGCGAATGAAGGCAAATGGTTTTTAGAACTTGACATGCTGTTGGAGAGTGAGCAAGGTAACATTTATGAAGGGATTCAGGGAAACTGGCAGGCCAGACTTGAGTCCTGGAGATGGTAAGTACAGTGCCTGCACTCTGAAGGAGGGGTATTAACCCTTTGACTGTCGCAACCCCCAATCCTGAGGTGTCTCCTGGTGTCGCAAAATTTAAAAAAAAAAAAATTATTTTTTCTTATGAAATGATAGAGAATCTTTTCCCGATTGTAATGACACCAAAAAAAACGAAATTTGATGGAAAACTGACGGAATTATGCTCTCGTGAAGTTAGCGACCTCGGCGCTGTTTACAAATCGGCGATTTCGCCCACTTTGAGCCCTATTTTCGGCTAATTCCATTGTTCCAGTTGCCCAAACTCATAGCTATTTCTTTAGAACTCCATTTTTTCTATCGATTGAGTACAAGAAACTGCCCATTTACCGATTTCAACTACCTAATAATGTGGTCAGAAATTTGCAATTTGGCCAATTTCACGAAAACTAAAAAATATGACAATTTAAAAATAAGGTCCAGAATGAACAATGCAGACATTCCTGGCTCTAAAATAACATTTTCTTTGTTCATCAGTCATGTCTCCAGGCCCCTCTGATATTACTCTTGCTTTCTATTTTGAATTTTTATTCAAACAAAAATAGAAGACTTACTATTATGCAGACTACTGCAATACTGTAATAATTGTATAAATAACATCAACCCATTCATGACTGCATATTAGAATGGCTAGTTGGACATTTATTGGACAATGGCATCATTTGTTTACTTTTGAACATTGGCAAAAATCAAACATTTCCCCCTACTTTGAGCTCCATTTCTAGGTTCTTTTTATAGTAAAATCAATCAAAATCACCTCTATTTCTATAATATGTTTTCCATTCTATCAAATGAGACCAAGAAAACGAGAATACAACCATAAATACTATATGAAAATAGACCACAAAGTCGGCATTTTAATTAAAAAAAAACGGTCGGAGTTTTTTTTTTCTCATTATGCACTGCGTGCTCCAGGATTTTTTTATATGGTTCACACTGACCACACAGACCCATTCTCTCACATGTGAGCCTACCAGCTTTCTCCTGCTTGATTTGAAGCCACTAGAATTTATGAGTATATATACGTCAAACACGGTACCTCGTAAGACGTATATATACGGCCGCGACAGTCAAAGGGTTAATGTTGCAGTTTTATAGTTGGCGTAAGCATGCCTCTGACCTGCGTCAGGAAACACTTGTTCTGTGTCCTGACAAACCTTACCTAACCTACCCTCTGACAAGACAGTGATGGAGTGAATGATGGTGAAAGATTTTCTTTTTCGGTACACCCTGCCCTGGTGGGAGATGGCCGATGTGTTAATAAAATAAAAAAAAAATGTTAGAGACGAACGAAGGGAGCATATTGGTATATATTGAATAAGAAGGTATTAGTGAGAGAGAATATGTTAAGAAATTAGTTAAATTAATAATGATACAGTATTTTTATTTTCAGAGCCCTTAGAGTGTGCAATGCTAAGTCCTTGAACGATGAGCTTGCCTACATAACTATTGGTAAAGCCTTCAGATCCCTAAAATTGTCAAACAACATGAACACTTGCCAACTTGAGGCCACTAGCCTCCAAATACATAAAGTTGAGAAAGACACCTCAACAGGGTTTTCCTTGCTGATGATGAGTGGACAGCCTTTACTCAAGCCTTAATCTTGCGGAAGATGAGATGGGTTTCCAGTTGCCACAAAAACTCTCAGGGACTTCACAGGACCTAAACTAAATGATGGACTAGCATTCCACATGTGTGCAGCATCCTTGCAAAAGGCTGCAACAAAGTATATTGGGAAAACTGGGAGAAACCCAAAGACTTCCATTGGCAAACACCTGTCATATCAACAAAATTGCTTGTGTAGTACACAAGAACACAATCTTGCATCTTGTGGACCAGGAAGGGGCTGACTTTGTCAGTTGAAGAGAGCCCAAGAGCAGAGAGGCTTTCAGTTTAGCAGTGTCTCCTCACTTGTATCATACTCACAAATAGGAACAAACCTCAGGCTAACACACTTGTACAACTCAAGCCGTGTATCAACATTCTCAGGAAGCTGAGAACTGCAGTAGGCCTACCAGCCCTTCCACACTTGAATGCACTGGCCACTTCACCTTCACCTGACCAACTTACCTCCTCTACCATATGAGAATGTCTTTGATTTTCTTTATTCACTCAAGAAAGCTTACTACAAGTGAAAGAAGCATTGTGTACTTTTATAATTAAACGTCCTTCTGTTTATTAGTCTTTTTATCAAATTGTTGGCTGTTGCCACTATTTCACATAGAATTTTTGGAAAGCTTTTAGGATGGAAGCAGTCATATCTGAAGAGCATGCAAACTGCAATTTTTATATTTGATCTAGATAACCCATTGTCACATGTGAGAGTATCTCTTCTATACAAATACAAATAGTTTACATACTTTTTTTTTTTTAACATGTCAGCCATTTCCCACCTAGACAGGGTGACCCAAAAAGAAAGAAAAAAACATTCATCATTCAACCCTTTCACCATCATTCATATATAATCACTGTCTTTGCAGAGGCACTCAGATATGACAGTTTAGATGTCACTCCAAACAGCCAATGTCACAAACCCCTTCTTTAAAGTGCAGGTATTGTGCTTCCCAGCTCCAGGACTCAAGTCCAACTAACCTGTTTCCCTGAATCTCTTCAGAAAATATTACCCTGCTCACAGTCCAACAACTCATCAGGTCCCAAAAACCATTCATCTCCATTCACTCCTAATGCGCTCATGCACGCTTGCTGGAAGTCCCATCCCCTCGCCCACAAAACCTTCTTTACCTCCAGCCTTTTCTTTTTAGGACGACCCCTACGCCACCTTCCTTTCCCTACAGATTTATACGCTCTCCAAGTCAACAACCCCTCTTCACCCCTCTGACTTAATACTTTTAGTAACTTCACACCTCCTAAATTCCGCACTATGAATTCTCTACATAATATTCACACTAGACACAACATCTCCACTGCCTCCAGCCTCCTCCTTGCTGCAACATTTACAACCTATGTTTCACACCCATATAGGAGTGTTGGTACCACTATACTCTCATGCATTCCCTTCTTTGCCTCTCTAGATAACATTTTTTTGTCTCCACAGATACCTCAAAGCACCACTTGCTTTATTTTCTTCATTAGTTCTATGGTTAACCTCATCCTTCATTATCCCATCTGCTGACAAGTCAACTCCCAAATATCTGAACACATTCACTTCTTCCATACTCCCTCCCAGCAATGTGATATTCAATTTTTCTTCTTCACATTACCCTTATCTATGTTCACTTTCAACTTTCTGCCTTTACACACAAAAAGCCACTAGCATGCAGTGCATTTCAGGCAGTAATATACCGTGATGAGTGATGAGAATCTGCATAAGACAATACTGAGAGAATACTGAGAGTAGTTCATCAGTATATAAAGCCACTGAATCAGAAACGTAAAAAGCATCGCATGATGTCCATTAGTACAGTGGACAATCAGAATTCACATGGGTCACTTTCATGAAAAGTGCTCTACTAACAGGGTTGTGGCCTTCAGATTTCTGAGAGTGCTATAACCAATTTAACTGAACACCTTAACTGTCCAAATGTTGATCCATGTTTCCATTGCTTGCACTCCAAATATTTTGAAAAAAAAAAAATTAAATTGGATGGCAATTCTGTGCATGTAATAAGACCAAAAAGAAATTTTAGCACCAGTACTTATTGATATGTAAGGTGGTAAAGTTGACACTGGATTCTCACTTGACAGCAACATGGAGTCCTGCCACTTGCAGAAATGTTGCTGATATTCCTCTTTTTAATTGATATGTTTTTTTATTTTCTGATAATTACAATTTATAGTGGTTCTTGTGATTTTAAAGCCAATCTTTGTTTTGATACTAATATTAGATACGGCCGGTTTGTTGAAAGAAAGATTAGTTACTGAAATATCAGATAGTCACAGACACACTGACAGGTGAACATGTTTACCTGCCTTGGTCACGTTCTATTGTCTAGAAATATATACAAATTATTTGTAGGTTCCAGCAATGTTTTTAGAAGTGATAGAGTGTGAATTTCTAAGCACTGTATACATCAGCATGTCTGTCTGACTCTGTGTATATAGCTGTCTGTCTAGCTGTCTCCATTTATCTCTGTCTCTGTCTGCCTGTGTGTGTATATATCTCTGTCTGCCTGTTTCTCTCTCGGTCTCAGAGAGCTGCTCATGAACCAACAGGTATTACATCACGTCTGAATAAGTGGAAATACATGTTACTTGCGACAGTCATGCTTATGCCTCGTATCAACAAGCACAGAATAGCACTTTGTCTGGCTTTTTTGGGTCATCCCAGGTAATTTACACTGTGTATGATAACTGTACTCAAATGTACCAGTACCTAAATAAACTTAGTCCTTGATTCTGGTTTATGAGTGGCTCTGGGACAAAGACAGGCAGAGATAAAGACAAAGATACAGATAGTGACAGATACAGAGATAGAGCTAGCCAATCAGCCTGCCAGCCCCCCACCCAGCCAGCCAGGTTATAGGACATTCTGGCAGGTATCAAAATTGAAAGGATGTTGCACGTGGGTTATTATCTAGGTTTTTGATATTTCCTTGACCACTTTTGGCCACATCCACCTCACAGGTACTAAACTCAGGGTCAATATCACTTTCCTCTTAAAAGGGGACTGTTAATATGACATGGCATTAGTGAATCCCTGGTGTTTGCCATGCTGTTTGCTCTAACTGGTGCTCCTACAAGGTACTAAGTGGTCCCAGATTTTTTTGATACTGCACACACTGAGTGTTAAGACCCATTCTATATCGCCTAGACCTATCATGCCAAATTTGGAGGCAGGAAAAATAAAACATTTATCTATGTTTGGAATGATAGAAGTAAGAACGTAGATCAACATTTGGACAGTTAAGGGGTTAATGTCATAAAAATAATACGTTTTCTCTTACCTAACATTGTTAATGATGATCTGTGAAATATTTGAACTCTGGTGAGATTCAGACAGTTAAAAGAAAGCACATTAGCAAAAAATCTTGTACAGTAATACTGTACATTGTCATCTACTTTCATGTAGAGTTCAGAATGCTTAACGTGAAATTAGTGGAGAGTGGCTGTGGACCTATTCCTTATACTTGGTGTTATGCTTTAGGGTTTAGCAGGCACTTTATGGGGATTTTCCCGAGTACCAGTGGTGAGGGATCGCCCCTTTTTAACGTATCAATAAGTCTACTATTAATTAGGCTTAGTCTTCTCTTTATCTAAGGCCATTAGGTTTGATACATTAAGGAGACCAAAATTCAACAGATTATGTATATTAAGTTATTTAACCCTTTCACTATTGAGACCCTTGCTCACAAACTTGCTCTCAGTGTCGAAGAATTTAAAAAAAATGTAAATATTTTTTCTTATGAAATGATAGAGAATCTTTTCCAATGGTAATGACACCAAAAGTTCGAAATTTGATGGAAAACTTGTGGAATTAGGCTCTCACAAAGTTAGCAGTCTCGGCGATACATATGCATCGGCAATTTCGCTGATGTGTATGTATCGCTGAGCCTTATTTTCAGCCAATTCCATTGTTTCAGTCAACCAAACTCATACTGATTTAATACTGATAAGTTAATAACTTTGAGAGGTGCTTCACCTGTTCAGCAGGCTTTATCACTCTAACACAGAGGCATGAGGATAGAGACTTCTTTGCTGTAGCCAGTGGAAGATATAGAGATGCAACAGCTGAAGACATGGTCACATGCAAGCAGGACCCACTACTGAGAATAGGTCCTACCCATAAGGTAGGCCAGAGATTTAGCTATGAAATTGTGTAAGATAGAGAAATTCTCTATTAAAATTCCATTGTGTTAGTGTCATAACATGGAAGTGGCAAGTCCTGCCCCTAACTTGAATATGTCCAGTATATAGGTGTAGCAGCTACCAAAGCCTAGTCAAATAAACAGCCTTTAGAAAATTGTAATTAAATCTTGACCAGTCTGTCAGTCAAATCTGACCACTGAATAAAGGCAAAACGTTAACATACATGAAAGACTAGGAGCCACGTCAGACGAAAGAGAAGTTGGTTGGAAATCCACTTCAAGGCATACCCCCCTTCGACCACCACCTCCTGGAACCAGCAGGCAGCCTCCAGAGATACACCAGTCAGTGGTCACTGAAAGCCATCCTCCAGGACCCAGGAAGGTGGATCAGCACATCCCTAGATAATCCAGATTCCATGGCAAGCACCACCACCACCAAGAGCCTCAACAGAATGGGATGGACAACGACACACTTTCCCCAGCCTAGGAGCTAGAATTTCAGAGGGGAGGACCCCCAAAGGCCAAAAGCACAAAGGAAGGAAAGAGGAGGGAAGGGATGGAGGAGGGAGGAGGCAAGCAAGGGAGGGGGTGGGGTGGGGTAGTTAGGTTTGCCCTGAGGAAGAATCATTGGTATGTGACTGTGTGACTTCTTTTTTATTATAATAATCATAATCCGAGGAAGAAGACTGAAAGGTCCAATTCCTTAGACCAAAAGCCTCTTCACCATGGCAAGGAGTTCCCTTTGAAGAGGAAAAATTATTACATAAAAAGCAAGAACAGGACATATACACCAAGAGATGTATTTCTGTATGTATACATAGATTACATTAATCCCTATTTGATTACATTACATTCATGGGGAGCACTAAACCTATAGGGGGGTCATACATTGCCTCGGGGAATGGAAGGCACGTTAGTGACTTTTTGTGCTTAATATTTTACTATATGTAAATCACATCTTGTATTCTGCAGAAAGAAATAGTTCTTTTGTTTATATTCAGGCTTCATTCAAGGAATTGGAGCAATGGTCTAATTCCCCAGATCAAGATCCCCTCATTAACATCAAGGAACCTTCTTTGAAGGGAAATCCCTATTTAAGATATTAAAACATTGTCTGGTGGTGAAAAGGTTAGGTGCAGCTTTATTGACCACAGTGTAGTAGATAAGCTTTGAACCCCATTAACCAGTCGCCCAAAGCAAATTTAACCTTATCGAAAGCTTAATACTTCCAAAACCATGCACTAAACCTGTATGGGGTCATGAAGCAATCCAAACCTATATAGTAGACCAAGTAAAATCATTGCATGGGCGGTGAATGTTGCAACAAGGAGAAGGCTGGAGGCAGTGGAGATGTCATGTCTGAGGGCAATGTGTGGTGTGAATATAATGCAGAGAATTCATAGTTTGGAAATT